TCTTGTTCCTACTGTGATGCCTTCTAAGTAGGCTACAAGCATATATTTCCTCACATCCCGTTCTAATGGGACTGATCTCAAGGTGTTGTATGGAGTAGCATCTTTTTTCAAATTTCCAGCTGTTGTATTGCCAGCAGGACAGGCAGCAGTTGAGACAGGCTTACAGCCTGTTGGCTTCAATAGGTTTTTGAGCCACATCCTAATGACCTGTTCTGAGAAGAGGTCAATAACCTGGTGATCAAGATGCAGATAGACCTCTTCTCATTACCATTACTGAATTGGTAATGCAATGATGAACATTTTTTTTTTTTTTTTAATGTTAGTGTAGGAAACGTTCCAACTTTCTTCCACATGCTTATTCTGAGCTTTTGTTTCTGAGCAAAATGTAGGAGGATGGGAGAAAGATATAATGATGTATCCACAATATCTTGTTTTGAATCTCTTCTGCTTCCCACCCATGACATGCGCACTTTTTTTTAAAGCTTATTCTGGTTTTGCAGTCATCCTTATTGTTATGGAAAGTCTGAGTGGCACAAGTCTAATGCTCTTTAAATGTTAGTATGTAGAACTTCCTTTGTAAACAGACTTCTGTATATGGGCAAAGGGGAGAAAGTCATTAATTGGTACTTTTGACCTTTGACAGCTCCTTGGGGAGGTAAATCATTTAATAAGTAACATTAAAGATGTAATTGAAGGAGATCACCTGCTGTATTGCAGCAGTGTTTATGCTGGAAGAGAGCTAAGAGAACATTGCCCCCTTTATTAAGTTGGAAAAACTTTTTGGCTTGTATTTTTGCTGATGTCATCAAAAGGTGCATTAGGTTTTTTCCCCTTTCTTGGATTTCTGTCCTGCAACCTCCATTTAATTAAAGTAATAACTCCAGGCAACCTAGGGTGCATGTAGACATGCAGGGATGCTACTCTGACACGCTGTAATTACAGCATATCAGGCCAGACTCAGTTCTAATCAAGTCTGCTGGAGTGTGCTAATTAGCACACTGGCAGCCTCTGTGTCTCATGTATTCAGCATCCCCGTGCTTTAAAACGGCTGTGGGGGCACTGTAGTTAAAGCTTGTCAAATGATCTTTAGTTGAAGTGCCCCGCTGTCATTTTGAAGCGCAGGACTCTGAATACAGGAGACACTGCAGGTGCTTCCATTAGAGTGGCTTTTAGAGCCACTCTAAAGCCCCCCCCCTCCACCCCCTGGCCCCTGGAGCTGGTGTAAAGATGCCCCTAGTGACTAAACCAAGGTGAATAGCTGGATTGATTGGTTGATTATTTACTTGCTGCTGCTGTTCAGTAGCCAAACAAAGAAAACAAGGAAAAAAGTTGAATTTGGGCCAAACCAAAATGGAAACATTTGGAGATTTTCAGTTAATAATAATAATAATTTTGGCTCAAACTAAAATAGTTTTGTTTTGAAACAAAATGAAATATTTTATTTTCAAGTTAACATTTTTAAAATAATTTTAGATCAGTATTTTAAATTAAAAATGCTGTTTTGAAACTGTCAGAATGAATTGCTTTGGCATTTCCAAACTGGAACTTTATTTAAAGATTGAACCGCAGTCTTTGGCGCTTATTTTTCTACTCAACACTTCAGGGTGGAATGTGAGGAAGGAGGTGGTGGGGAGGGTTTGCTTGGTACATTTTAGTATTTATCACAAAAAAAAATATTACCAATTTTTGTTAGGGTCCTATCTACTGTCATCACAGAAATGGCAAAATTGACCATGTTGCTAACATATTGATTATCTGAATTCAAAAAGGTTATTAGTAAGCAAACAAATTTCTTGCACACAAAGCATCTTACAGCTTAATGGTATCATGTCCATTTTTATTATCTACTTATGCCAAAAAGATTTAATTATTTCAATGTGGTCAAAAGTTACTTGGCATAGAAAACTGCTGTATGTATGTATGTATGTATGTATGTATGTGCTGTTGTTCAGTAGCCAAACAAAAAGAAAAAAGGGAAAAACATTGAGTTTAAAATGTATATATTTTAATCTTGTTCTCCTACAACTGGAATGTATATGTTGTTCGTGCTCTGGGCCTTCAGATCGAGAAACAGGCTTATTATAGCAAAAAGGTACTGAAAATAATGAAAGTGGAGAAAGTCTGAAGCAAGACTGTAGCTCATAGATAACTGTGTTCCAGTAGGAAAAAGAGGGAGGTGCAGCTTTGGCAGGGGAGATGCTATGAATCTGAATTTTTTAAGTGTTTATACAACAATGAGAAGAGCTGGCCCTCGGTCCCTAAGAACATTAACTGGATGGGTGTGAGGGGCAGCTGTGTTCTGCTCACTCCAGCTGCCTTCTCCCTCTGGAGCTGGGGCCCTCTCACACCTTCACAACACCGCCGCTGGCACATTGCATGCTAACTGCTTTCACATACTGGGAAACAAAGCTCATTAGTTCAAGTTGAAGGTGGAGTAATGTAGGATGAGATAATGGCCCAGTGACAGAGGAGACTGACATGTTACTGTGTATGTTGAGGTCAGTTGCCTTGTGAAGAATGAAACTAATCCAAGTGAGCCTGGGCGATAGGATGCAACTTGGAACCAAATGGCTGTAGTCTAACATGCAGCGTAATTTTAATGTGTGCCTTTTCCAAGGCATGGAAGATTTTTTTGGCAGCCAGTCAGGCCCCTGTATTTGTCAGCTGCCTTGGATGCTATTGACTGTAAGGTTTGCTAGACACCTTTGCAGGAGCTGGAGTTGCTTTGGAATGCCTCCATTTGTTTTCTTGTAAGAGATCAGAGACTCAGACATATGTGAGCAATTGTTAATCTGCCCCAAGGGCACTGGGTTTCCCTTGTCTACATGGAAAAATTGAACCTGTCTGATTTTTTTAAATCTATGTGTGTGGGCCGCCTTTTCTCTGAAAGTGGGTTATTCACTTTAAACTAAATTCAGCCACAAAATGTTATTTTTAGTTTGAAATATCTGTCTACAGTTTATTGGTTTGAATTAACAAATTCCTATCAAAATGAGACCTTTGTTTTTCTTGTCATCCTCCATTCTTAACATGTTCGTGAGATTATCAAGAGTATTTGGGCTACAGCACACTCAGTATGTGGTATCTAAACTTAGTGCTACTTTCTCAGGGTGCAGACACATGACATGCTTACCCTGGGGTAATTTGACTTTGAATAAAATTGTGCCTATATCTGGAGAGCCATACAACCAGCTCTCTAGGGGTAATTGTCTGCAGCAGGTACTACTGCAATTCCTCACCAGTAGCTGGGATGGGAGCCAGCAACAACCTGGTTTGTAGGGCTGGTCCAAGGGTAATTGGCACTCTAGGCGAACTGTGTACCTCGGCGCCCCCACTACTGTGTATCGCAGCACCCAAAAGGTAGGAGTTGCGATTCTAGTGATCTTTCCTCTGAGATCTTTTAAGAGGTCTTTCTCCCCTTGCTGAACCAAAGGTCTTAGACCAAGGCAGAGCCATAGCCAGCCAGGGCTGTTATTTAGAATGATATTCCTGTTATTTTGTTCTGCATGTAATTTTGGCACCCCCCAAATTTTGGCACCCTAGATGACTGCCTAGTTCACCTAATGGTTGGACCGGCCCTGCTGGTTTGCAGTGATAGAAAGGACTACCTTGGGATGAAATTTATTAGCACTTCAGACACCAATGTAAAGTTTTACTCCTCACTTTCCAAAGGGTAACTCTTTCCCAGGGGGAACTGATTTACACCATTGTAAGACTGTTCATTGTCTGTTTACTTCAGGGCAAAAGTAAAGCAAAGTCAAATTATTCCAGAGTATATAAGCCATGTGTCAACACCTTCAGTTTAGCCTAGACTTCTATTAGAAGCACCTTAAAAACAGCTAAGAAATTTGAAACTGCACCCTAGGATTGCTTCAAGGACTAAACGAAACAATTACAGATTTCGAAGACTGAAATCACTAGCAAACTCTTTCTTGTTACTTGAGGGAGGTCCAAGTCTGTCAGAATGAGAGTTAAATGTATTATTATTAAAACTTTCAGTAAACTTGTATACAGACTTTCTGCGGTCATCAGATTTGTATCACACTAGTGCAGGCTCCTATGATCCAGTTTGAAAAGCCCAAGTCTGTCTGTGTTTCCTAAGATTAGCTAGACAATATATAAGGTTTGCCCACAACTTTGCAGTGCCCTCTAAACCCAAGTGAATATCAAAGCTTTTAATTTGCATGTTCTATGGGAGCACAAATAATTGAAGCTCTCCACTGGGCAATGGTATAAACGAACACAGAGCCATTCATATTGGCTCAGCTAGTACAAAGGTTTTGAGAGAGACGGGTGAGCGAGAGATAGAGGCCTAATGCAGGGAGTGCCACCAGATTACCTATAGTGTCGGGTTGCATGGGAAAGTTAAGCAAAACAGAAGTGCAGTATCATGCTGGCTTGTAAGGTACTTAGCTTTGCCAGGGACAGCAGGTGAACTAGCACTAATGTGTATTATTTTGTGTTTTCATTTGCATAGCTTTGCTAAAGGATTCCCTTAGGTCTTGCTCATGCCTTGGTTGTGCCAGGACTTGCCAAGAGTTTCAAACATTGTTACAAATATAGTTGTAATACAGCAGGTGCCCCTGTGCAATACTAACTCTGTATTCAGGAATTGTGCTGCAGAGTAGCTGAGTGCTACTTGGCTAAAGTAATTCTGGGAGGTAGATCATGATTTGCTCTGGTACCTTTGTATGTCTAGCCATAGTTTTCTCCCCAGGTAAACCTCACATTTAAACCCCTAAGTAAACCCTCACATTCTGCAACAGCTTTGCAATCTATTTCTGGCATTTAGCAAATGTTCACTAGGCAAGACAATTTACATTAGGTAGGTTTTCAGCTTTTTAGCAGTGGTGCCAAGAAGTATTTGTGCTTCATAGAATCAATTTCCACAACTATTTTGTGCTGTTGAACTATGGGAAGACACTAGTGGGTGCTTCTTTCTGCTTCAGGTTGTGTGTTGGACATTATCTCTAACTGATGCTATGTATTGTTATTTGTAGGTGGTATCAAATGCTGCTGGGCAAGGAGTTACCATTACGGGCAACAACACATTCAACAACTGGAATTGGCCCAATGCTGTGATCTTTGCTGCTACTGTAATCACAACGATTGGTGGGTATTTATCATGTGAGTTCTCTTGGCTGCAGTACTTCTTACAATTCAGTGGCCTCTTGCTCTTTCATGTATTTGGCTATCCATTGAAGAAAAATATACTTCCCAATAACTATGGGAAGTATAAACAAATGAGCAAGTAACCTTAGAACATATTTTTCATGAGGCATGTGTATGAGGCAGTTATGCTTTATCAGCACTCAAATCCTTGAAGTATGTAATAAAAATGTTTTCCTTGCTGAGTAATTACATATCCAGTGGCTTGATGAAGTGGGACTGATATAATCCTAGTTCCAATCAAAGTTTATATTTGAATGCCTGTTTGGTATAAACGTGGCACCAAGTGCTGCTTATAACTTAAAGGAATATTCACTGGGACTCAAAGTACAGGTCTTCTACTATCCGAAACAGAGTATTGATAGATACAGTCTCATAGGTTCTCTGAAACCTTTTTGTTTTATCACCTCTTTCTCCATTTTTTTTTTTTTTTTTTTTTT